GAGCTGAGCGGGTGGCAGCGTTGGCAGCTGGTGCATTCACCATCAAACCACAGTGCCTTCTATTGCTTGTTTTTCTTTTGTTTTTCTCCTTGTTTTCCTCCTTGTTTTTCTTAGGAACATGAAGCTTTAAGCCATTGCCAGACTGGGAGTTGAGCTTATGAATCAAAGAAAGGATATGACCGTATAATCTTTTTCAACCCATCTTGTTGTAAGGTGGTTTCTATTCATTTAACATCCCTCCGTGGTCTTTATTAGCAAACAAAGTGTGGAGTGCTTCACATGCTCTGTGTGAATTTTTATGAAGGAGGAGAAGAGCAGCACAAGATAGATGTGTCAGCTGGGAGGTCTGGGAGATTGGCTGTAAGAATTTTAAGGAGATAATTTCAAGAAAACAGTAATCAAGGGAGCTGAAAGGGTGGGAGAACGTCATAAAAAGAAACAAGCTGCTTCTCTCAGCAGAAGGAACTGGGGTGATAAAATTCTCTGAGGGTCCCAGACCGGCTGCACCAATTCTAGAAACTTTAGGTATTACAGCAAACCAGCTCCCAGGAAGATGCATTTTTGGAGATCATGACTGGCTCCAGACTAAGCACCTCCATAAATCCTGTCAGCTGGAAAATGGTTTGTTTGTTTTAAGAGAAAATTATGTGACCAAGAAAACCCAATCTTTTCCTTTCTCCATTTTTTCTCAGTTAAAACATTTTAACAAGGAAGCTGGGTTGTACAAGGAGTGTAACAGTCAGGCCAAAATGAGTAAATTCTGCCAGCATTAAAGCTGTAAAGAGATCAAACCATCCCCAAAGACCCACTTCTCCATTACAGCAAAATCCAGTGAGTCTTCTCCACCTCCATCATTCCAGGATAGCAGAGCACTGGATAACACCTGGCACTCACATGAGCTTAGAAGATTTGTGTTCATGGCAAAGTTCATTTGTGTTATAGCTCCAGTGCACTCATTAATTGACTCCTGTCCAGGCACAAAGTCTCACAGTTTCTGTATTGTGGTGTTTAATCTCAAACTGATTAACAGAGAAAATGAGCACAGCTTGTCTGAAATAAAGGTAAGGAAGTTGAACAGTATAATTCAGTTCTGTTGGCTGCCCTGAAAAAGCAGGGAGAATGTGAGGCTGTGGTCTAATAAAATGAGGCTCTCAGGATGTTCTGGCTTCCAGCCAAAGCAAGAGTTAAAATGAACAGGTAGAGTGAGGGAGGGAAAGAAATCATAGGGCCCAGCTGATGGTGCAATGTAATTCCCATTGCACTTTCAAATCCACTGGCGCAGATACTTGAGAATAATGAGGTGGTATTTTGATAAAAGGGAAGGAGGTATGGTCTGGGCTATTTTGAGGTGCTATCAGCTCTAAAACCCTGCAATAATCTAACATGGGGAGGACAGTGATCAGCACTTCAGCCAGACATTGCTGCACAGAGTCCAAGAGCCTGGGGTTAGCTTAGAGTGTGCCTTTCAGAGAGACTGCTAAGGTGAAACCCCGACTCTATTGAACCTGCTGCCAAAATGTTCAGTAATTTCAGTGCAGAACTTATGCTTGAGTCTTGATTTACTGACTTCCAGCAAAAGAATTGTACCCTAGTTCTCCACTGCTGGCTCTGGGCTGTGCTCTGTGCACCAGGATCAGTCAGGACAGCTCACCAGGGTGGGCACCAAGCACATCAAAGCCTCAGGTTTCCTCATATCCTTGACAAAAAGACCCCACTGAAAAAGGCACAGCTCACTGTGCTCTGCTGAAGATGCACAAAGGGGGAACAAAGCTCATCCCGTTCATTTTCTTGTCTGCATGCCAAAAGTGGTAGTTCTCTCATCAGACATCTGTGTGTGTTGTTAAACAAGCCCCACAAGCTCCCCTTAGGTGCCAGCAAAATGCTGAAGGGCCATTGTGCTCACATCTGCATTGTTCTGGAATTGTGAAGGTGCCCTTAGAAGAAGCAACTTAATGTCTGTTAATACAGAATTGAAATCACAGGAAACCATCCCTTTCACCAATCTATTTTCTATGCATCCTCCCCACTCTCCTCTGGTTCATCCATCAATCTCCATATCTGCCTCTGCTTTTTTGTCCTTTTTGGTGCACAAAGGCTTTGCTCAGATGACAAAAAAACAGTGTTCTTCTTCCAGTCTCTGGAATGAAAGTCAATATAAAGCAGCTCCTTATCTCCAGCTTTAGTTTTTTACACCTTCAATTATTCCGGTAGCAAATTTTAACTGACAATTACAGCCACTGATGTGCATGTAAGGTGCTTAAAACCTGCAGTACCACTGCATTAATCCACACAGAGCCTGGAAGCCAGCCAGGGGCTGCCAAAGGTGGCACTGCCAATGCACCCAAAGGAGGAGGTTGGGGAGACCATGCACATAGGTTCTAGCTACACATGGCCTTTTTTGTCCCCTCTGTTCCCACGTTTCCAGAGCTCCAGAGCTCCAGAATTAACAGCTACAGGTTAGAAAAAACACATATAGGATGTAAAGCATGAAAGCACAGCTGCAGAGGTTAAACCTGTCACTATTATGATGTGAAACAGGGCTGCCTTTACACAGACAAAAAGATTTACAGACAAACAGCAAGACTTCTCTGTTAAACTAATACAAAACCTGATTTCCAGCAGTTTATTTGAAAACAGATGGTGATGATGGCAAAAAGAGCCTCCTCCTATAAGGCAAGCAAAACTCTGCTGTTTGGAAGTGTAGAACATGAAGGCCTTTATTTTGCCTTGTGACATGGAAATTAATGAGTAGATGAGGATTGCTGAATAAAAATTCCTCAGGGGGGAAGAATCACTTATCTCCAAGAACATGTTCCACTCGGCATCCTCTGGCAAGGGACATCTTTGGAGCAATGGCAGATTAATCAGTGGAATAGCAATGAAGGGAAAACCTTTCTCTTCCAGGTAATGGTTCTGGTTGGCCAGCAGTGATCACTGCCCCAAGGTTTGTTGATGGCCTCAGGTTGGACAAGTCGGTTGTCTCAGTCCTGTCTTGTTCCACAATGCTAAAGGGAACCACAGAAACAAGCTCACAGCAGTAATTCCAGGGCTGTCCCTCATAAAGCACTTCTGGGGATTTGGCTCCAAAGAAAGGTGGCAGAGATGTGTGGATGATCTGTGCCCCACAGCCTGGAGCACACGGTGCCAACACCACCAGCAGCTCAGCTGTTCCCAGAGGAAATGCTGGTTGTGGCAAGGTCAAGGACAGCCCCCCACCATAAATACTGACTTCTCATGGCCAAACACAAAGGTGCAACAGCACTGGGACAGTTATCCCTCCAAAATCTAGACAGGACCCTGCCTGATGCAAAGGAGCACTGAAGAGCACGTGTGTCCCTCTCTGAGGGCAGGTGGTTGCAGTGGCACCTGAGCAAAGGCTACTCACACCCCCCCTCTGGCAATCAAACCAAGTCACCAGTTGCTGACTTCATTGAATCAACACTGTGAGGTTGAATCAGCCACATGCTGGCACTGAAACGCTAATTGTTTTCAAATACACATTGTAATAAAAGTCTAATTAGCACCCATCTCCAAAAGGAGCTGATGCCATGTAGGATGGCTTTGTAATGGTGACAAGCAATGAAGGATTACACACATTCATCTGCTTTTCTTCTCACCACGTTTTCTTGGGTTTGTGGTAGAGGTTTTAAATAAACACAAGAAAACAAGAAGGAAAAAGCAGGTTGACGAACTGCATGAGATATACATAGATCAGAACCTTGGGAATGCAGTCCAGCAGAGAACATTTAAATAACACAGAGCTACAGAGTTCTGAATCAAGTGTGATGCCCGTGTGCAGTCTGTATTGCTCACAGAAACACCCAGGTCTGTCTGTGGTGCACATAAAGGCAGCACTCACCGAGTTTGAACCCACACTCCCCTCCAATCCTGCAGGCAGTGACCCCACAGCACATACACAGACGGCCCCAAGGCCCAGCACACACCTTCAGCCAAGGGCACGTGTGCTGTGCCACTGCAGCTGGTGTCACATCCACAATCCAGGCTCTTCCCAGCCCAGCTGCAACTGTTGTTGTGGCTTACAGGGAGAAAGCTGCAGTGGGAGAGAGTCAGGCAACACCAGCACAGGAAATACAGCCCCAGGGGAGGCATAACATCAGCATGATGAGGGATGGCTGGAGTTATGGATATATTGCTTCTCCTTCCAGTCCTGCTGAGCACAAGGCAGAGCAAACCCTGAGCTACTGAACTCGTGTGGTGACCTCTACAATTTGCAGCAACCACTGCCTACATTATTAACAGCACTGCCTGTGCCAGGGACTGACCCTGCTCCCAGCCAAGGTCAGGGTCCATTGATTATGCCCTGTGAATTAGTTCAAACTGGGTGAATACAGAAAGAGAATGATTTGCCACAGGGCCAGTGATCAGAAGATGGGAGTAGCTCCTGGAAACATGAGTGTGTAGTACCCTCATCCCACACAGCTCATGAATAAATGGTGGAGCACTTGCCAGCCATCTCACCCTGGCATCTGATTCATTAGCCTGAGGGCAAACACAGAGAAGCACAGTGTAAGAAAGGGAGCCCCCTTCCCAAACCTACCTGCCAGCCCCTGGCCACATTTGTGTGAACCAGCCAGACCCATGTAAACAGAAGGGAGCCAATTAGCAGCTGATGTGAACGGTTCAGTGGAAAGTTATTATTTAAAAGCTAGTTAAGATAATTAGGGGGCAGTTTAATTAAAACATCAACTTAAACACAAAATGAATGCTGTAGCTATCAAGCCCAGCAGGATACAGAGCTAGCAGATTCCCCTGGGAAGCTGCTAATTAGTGTTTGTGGTGACTGCTAATAATAAATAAAAACAATAATATTCCTGTAAGCCTTAGAAATTTTAGGACGCTGGGTTCTTTCTGTCCAATGCATGTCCACTGCTCAATCCCTATTGCATGGCCAGATAGTTTAAACAGAGTATCTCAGAAGATTAGAAAGCTGTAGTAACTCAGACTAAGATTTTAAATGTCTTGGTTTCCCTTTAATCCAGCAGTCCTTGCCAGCAGAGAGAACACCACTGGAATTCCCAAGAACCACCCAGACAGGTCACAGTGCAGGGTCACTGTTTCATGCTGCTCATCTGCTCTCATACAAGGACCACTGCCACAAACAGGTTGTTTATGATCAGGAATTAAAAGAATTCTGATACCAGAAGCGATATAGCCTGGGAAATGCTGTTCCTGGATGCACATCTGGGGCTCCACTGAGAGCTACAGAAACCCAGGCAGAGCTGGAGCCCACTTCTGTGACACCTCTGATGCTGTGCCCCAGCCTCCATGGAGGGATGCACCAGTTTGTTCCCTTTTAAAGTTCTGCAAAGCTTTTGCTGCAGCACTGCAAAGGATCTGATTCTGATCTCACTGGCACTGGTGGTGATGAGAAGCATCTCTTGTTGTCTCCCTCTGCACACTGCAGGCAACACACTGAGAGTGACTCTACCAGGCAAAAGGGAGAAGGTGAGACACTGCAGCATTTGAGGGGGCACGCTGGTGATTCATCCATTTAAACAGCTCAAACCAGGATTCTCCAGCAACTACAGAAGGAGATGCTCCATTTCACACAGAAGTTAATTGCCAGGGCTTCCAGCACAAGAAGGGAAAGTCTCTGCAGTAAAAGAGATGGTGCTCCCAGTAGTATGTGCAGGGCCAGGAGGAACACAAGTGTCAATGTTTTCTCAGCTGAACAGAGCTGAGCTGTGTTATCTAATTCCTGAGCTATAGATTTTGAGTTGCCCAGGGGGAGGGGGATGCATTAATTACTTATGAATCAATTGATCTGCTGCTATTTCAGGAACATCTGTCTAATGGCTCTGTAATAGAGAAGATTCCCAAACAGCAGCTCCCTCACTTCACACAAGCCATCCCTCACCCCCCACCCCACAGAAGAGCAGGAGTCTGCAGGACAGGGAACTTCCAGGATGTACAGCAAACTCCTACCAGGCACTGCCCTTGTGTGCTCTTCACCTTGTTCCCATATCCCAGTTTATATCAGGGCAAAGCAGGTGGGAACTGTCACCACGGCAGTGAGGCTGTGTTACACTTACCTCATCCTGCTAAAAATGGGGAAAGAAGGTAAAAAGCAATAAAGAAATGGGCTCAGGGGCTGCTCCCCTTGGTGGGACACATTCCAGGGTATCATCCAGATTACAGGGAAGGAAGGTGACCTCTCCCTCTCTTTCTACCCTCATACATGGGAAAAATACACCTGCTCCTGGTATGGCCAGAAATAGAGGAACAGCTGAGATGTTCTTTTGGACTCTCTTACCTTGCACCTGGAAGATGCCAAAAACTGAACCATCAATTAATTAAAAGCTTTGTGAATACAGCCTGGAGATCCTAGTCTGGAAATTTAAGGCAGAAGTTTCCATTTTGCTTGGCACTTCTTCTCTAAAAGATGTCTAAGAGTTCCTGTCATTCCACGAATGTCTGTCTCTGCTCTGACAGAAGTTCAGAGGCAATTTAGTTTTACAGGAGCAGCCTTTTTTGCAGACACGGTTAAGACAACAGGAATACCACTCATCAAAGTCTTTGTTACTCTGTGTAACTGAAGCACAATTATCTACCAACTTAGCACTCCCATCATCAGCTTCCCTCCTAAATGATTAAGTTCTTTGTCAGTCATCAAATCTCTCAGTGTAAGCAGGGTCAAAAGGCAACCTGTGCTCAAGTAAGATTTGAGTGGTACATTTACAGGAGAGAATTTACCCCTGATGGTCAAAATCTGCAAACAATGCTTTCCAGTGGCTTTCTTGCTAGTAACAATCTGTCAACACTTATCAAACTTGTATCTAATCATCTCATCTGTATGTCTTTTATTTTAGCAAAACATCAAATTAGAGGATATTAAACAGAACATCTAGTCTTGCACAGCTCCTTTCAGCAAAAGGTATTGAAGCTTTTTATGCAGAAAGTGTGTATCATTATAGCCACTTATAAACAGGAAAATGAAAGCACAGAGAGATCAAATGACTTGCTAAAGGTATTAGAGCAGATTACTGGCCAAGCCAGAAGCAAATTCAAGTGCCTCAAGTGTTGCTTCAATGCCCTGGATGACACCAGGTAAAGATCAGCTCATTCACCACTGAACATAATCATTTCTCAGCTGAACCTGAGCCCTGCGTGTCAGTGTTACATGGCAATTCAGGACAGCTGGCACTTAGATGTGGTCTCTAATTTCTGTTATCCAATTCCACATCCTGCTCTGCAGTACACCTGATCAGGACAATAACAAGATTTGATTGCTGGCAAAGCCACTTTCACAGGGATTTCTGGTTCACTCTCATCCATCCACCAGTCCCTCAGGGCTCCCAGCAGCTCCCAGCCAGGAACTGCGCTGATCTGCCCCGAGCAGGAGGGTTTGGAGATCCCAGTTTGGAGAGGCAGGAGGGGAGCAGCTGCAGGAGGGGACAGGGGGCCGACAGGACAGGAGGCAGCACACACAGAGCAGCTGTGCCTTCAGCCCAGGGAAGTGCTGCAGCTGCAGCTCTGGGAACAGCCACGCTTTGGGGCAAACACAGAAGACACAGCACTGGTGGCAAGGAGTGAAAAGAAAGGCTGTCCCTGATCTCTGTGCTGTCTGAAGTGCCCCCACAGGAAAACATGAGGATTAGAGGGTTAACAAAAGCGCTGTGCCTCGTGGCCGCAGCTGCTGCCCGCACTGGTGGAGCTCTGCCCGCGGGGACTCGTGTGCGGGCTCAGGGCACGCAGGAACCGCGGGTTGAGCCCTGCCCTGGAAGGCAGCCCGTCAATTATTGCACCCCGGGACAGCCACGGCAGCAGCTCGTGCTCGACAGCAGCGATGGCTGAGGGGGAAGCACAGAACTCATCACCGAGGATCTAAACAAATCCGGGTTGCATTTGCACTTCATTTAGATTTAATAAGATAGTTATTGTTTGTTAATTACGTGCCAATTGATTAGTGCAGCAACATATTTATTGAAGAGGAATAATTCAGCTGGAGATGCATATCCTACTCATCTAAATTGAATCAGGCAGATTCAAAGCGATGAAGTGTCGTGGAGCATCCATCTCCTGTTTGGTACATGCACTTTGGAAAAATTCCTGCAATCTGGAAGACAAGCTGCTCTGCTCCACAAAAACCTGTGCCCAGGAGGAAGTGTCACCCATGAAGGACTTGTGTGTAGGATGCTGGAAGCCTGTGCATGAGCCTGCAGACCCTGAAAGCCACAAAGCCTTGCTCTGCCAGGAGTCCTCGTGGTGATGTACAACAGCTTCTGCCAAGGAGAGCTGTACACAAAAGCACACATAATAAACATACAAATAAATGGAAAAACAAACAAAAACTCACTCCCCAAACTGGAAGCCGGAATCACAAGAGCCACTGTAAAAATCAAGTTCTCACTTCCTCTCACTATACTCCACAGAGAGCTGAAAAAGCAGGAGGTCTGGCAAAGGTCACTCCTACAGAAGGTGAAGGAAGGGCAAAGTTCAGAGCTTGTGCCAGTTCTGGGAAGGAGATGTGGGGTGTGTGGGGATGGGGGAAAATTAAATCCCATTTGATGAATATGAGAAACTAAATGATCCTCTTCATGATGGTCTCTGCACACAAGCAGCTGCAAATCAGAGGACTGCTCCAGCCGGGAAATGTCAATTGTATGGAAATGTCATCTTCATTGCAGAGCTCTCCTGGGGCTGCTGGAAACTGCAATTCAACTGCTTTAATTTCTATCCCTCTTTCTCTGTCTCACTTTCTCTTTTATTTTTCAATCTTTTAACCTTTATAAAAAAATTAAAAAACAACCGTCTTTTCTGCATTCAGTAAAAATTTTCAGCTACAACTGTGCAGAAAGGTTAAAGAGTTTCAATTAGAAAGGTCACTCCAGGATGATTGTGCAGCTGGATTCACATGCTGCCTGCATTTGGAAAGATAAAGATAGCACTGAGCTGCTTCCTGTGCCAGGGCTGACATCTCCAGCTTTTTCAGTCCCAACAGAAATAAACTTTCAGGCCTCACTCTTCAAATAGTGCAAAGACTCACAGATCTCAGGAGACTTTCAACAGGGAGAACTGTAACTTGAGTTCAAATTGAAGACCGGATCAAGAGGGAGACGTGTAACAGCTCACAGGCAATGCCCAAAGGGAGGGCACTGCACTGAGAGTCTCAAACTGGGAATCTGAACCTTGTGACATCTCCAAACCATCCTCAGCAGGAGACAGAGTTCACTTGTAGGCTTATCTAACCTCCTCTCTAGGCTCCCATTTCCCTCTTCCTGCATTCCACAATTCTTTTGCCCTGCCCTAAACCCTACCTTGTTTCGAAGGAAAATAGATTGATGTATTCCCTGGTGTTGAAATGAGGGAGGAACAACAAGGTGCACAGGGGGACAAGCATATGGCTGGTCAGGAGAGAGGGATTACGTGAATTACAATTGATTTTCCACTGTTAATGAACCGTGAAGTGCTTGTGATTGCATCTTGAAGAGATTTATAATTATTCATTGAATCTCAGAAGATAATTAAACTTCATTAAACACAGACATGACAAGCTTGCATAGTAAAGAATAAACCTCAGAGCAGGTTCCTGATGGAAGAGGGAGATACTGTGTTGGGAGAACCAGAGGATATAAAAGGAGGGTCCTACACTAAAAGTGGTTTTTGTCCAAACAAGAAGCTGCTGCCCTCAGACTGGCCTCTTCACCTCTTTTTCCTTAGTTTTTAAGGGTTCTTGGCTTTCTCTTTCACACCCCCTGAGTGTGCCTTATGTAACACACTTACCTATTCTGCTGCAGTCGCTGTGTGAAAATGTTCAGAGTGTTTTAGAGCCAGTGGGGACTGGTCCTGTTGCATGTTTACCAGAGTGTCTGTGACCTGCAAAACACAGACTGAGGAGGGAGCTGGGGAGAAGCAAGGGGAGGCTGTAGCAGGGAGATGCAGTTTATTACCACGTAGATCAGAATTCCCAAACAGCTCAGCATTTGAGATATCAAGGGAGTGCTTTTCTCTTTCAAATAGTCTGGCCTTAGCTTGTGACCATGTGAAAATTTAGCCCATATAGTCCATATTCCAGAGATTTATTAGGATATAATAGGACAAGTGCTACAGGCTATATGGTATGTTCAGCACTGGT